CTCTCTCTCTCTCTCTCTTTTCAGACTCATTTTCATTATCTATTCAGACAAATGTCACTCGTATTTCGATAGCCCATTCCATAACAGATTACGCCAGCATTACAAAAGAAGTTGGCAAGAAAAAACGCATTGGTTGAAATTGGCACACATGGGTTGGTTACATCTGCGATGGACAAGCAACTAGCTTGTTCATAGTTACGTATCTGGTCTCAGGTGTGCACCGGGGAAGACGCAAGTGTGAACGGGCAAGCAAGCTGCTTGTTTACAGTTAGTTAGCTGCCTGGTCCACTCTGCGAAAAACGCCACTACCTCCGAGCCTGTTTTTGGCGAGGCGGAAAAGAAGTGCGTGCCAAGCTTTGCTGAAGCACCGACGCGACTTTTTCCCCCCCTTCTTGGCTAGCGCCGCCAACCATTGTGGTTTAAGGGCTGGGCAGGGATTGCGATTGAAATTTGAAAGGTGTTTTCTGACCTGTTTCGATTGGGAGAATTTGGAGAAATAACGAGCTCAAATTTTCATCGATACTCTTCTGTACTACAGCTTTCGTTTTCCCCTTTCCGAACCCCCCCCCAAAAAACGCATACACTTCGAAATTTGAATGCATGCGTGCCACATGGACAGACTCTTCCACTAAACCCGCAGACAAACCCTAAAACAAACTGACCAGGAGCAAGCACAGGGGCATTTTTTTGCAAACACGGGCATTTTCGCAAACAAGTTGCATTTTTTTGCAAACACAGGGTATTTTTGCAAACACGGGCATTTTTGCAAACACGAGCATTTTTTTTGCAAACACGGGCATTTTTGCAAGCCCCGCAACGCCGGCCTCCAGAAGCAAGCAGTAGAAGCGTGTTGCTGACGCTGACTGGCAAAACACAGACCGCATGTACGATGGAAAGATAGGGCTCGCTCCATCAGAGCAGCGATTGTTGACCGTAGGTGCCCGGACGACATCATCAATTACATCAAAATTTATACTATTTATAGTAATCAGACACAACTGAATGGCCACAAAATGTGTACAACAGATACCTGAATCATACTGAGATCGATTGGGGATGAGACGAGCTGTAAGTACCGGTCTTTGGCCACTTGCGGCCAGCTTGACATTGGGACTGGCCGATTGAACTCCCCACCATGCCTGCTCACATTTTTTTTCCCAAAAAGGATTTTAACGCCGAGGTAGAAAACCAGCCCACAAAAAAAAAAAAAAGAAAACCAGCCCACAAAAGTAGACCACGTCAGCCTCACATCTTTCACAGCTCTCTACCGTTGAACAGGAAACCAAATTTCCAGCAGGGAGGAGGAAGACAAAATGAATCCATCATGCACCTTTTTCTTACTACCTTGCAGTGTTGCAGACCTGCCGACCGCCGACCGTATTGCAACCGACCAGTAGGGCTCACCGGTCGGCGGTATGCCGACCAGTCAGAAAACAGCCATCCACTGATTTTATTTTCAAGTCTGAGTTGGGGGTTGTACTGCGCTTGCAGAATACAGCCCAAATCCGCTGAGAAACTTTTGGGGATGAGGGGGGGTAAGGGGGGGTTGGGGGGGGACTGTAGGGGGGGTATAGGGGGATATAGGGGTGGTATAGCGGGTAGTGGGGGGCGTATGAGGATGTTGGGGAGGTGTATGAGGGTATTGGGGGCGGGTATGGGGGGTGCTGGTGGGGTTATTAGGGGTTCTGGACCCTTTTTTTGTTTTTGTTTTTTGCGGGGTGCCGACGACCCCCGACCGGTAGGTGCCGACCAGCCAACTGCTTCGCTGGTCGGCATCCGACCAGTCATGGCCCGCCGACCGTCGGGGTGTGCAACACTGCTACCTTGTACATAGGCTTGCACAGTGTTAGGTGCAGAGATGAAGGGATTGAATGGGATTCTGCTTTCATCTGAGCCTGCTATGAATGGGGTTCACAGCCTCATAATGTTGTGATACCCTCCCTGTCTGAAAATAAGAAGCTCTTACCGACGGGCCTAGCTCGGTTGGTACACCACAATTTGTTGAAATGCATACTGGAGCTCGAATCCGGATGGAACTGGATGAGTGGAATCAAATATTTCTGAATTACCTGGGGCTGGTGAGGTCCATGATGATATCTCAAGGTTGTGGCCCTTTAAACAAAAAAAAGAAAAAGAACAAGCTCTTTATTGAAGTTTATGCAAGTTTATTGCAAATATATTGTCACATATCTATGAACTAAAAGAGCGCACTTTCTGAGACAAATGATTAAAAAAAAAAAAAAGAAACACACATATAAGACAAAAATGAAGAGCACACTGAAACCATTCATTTTTCTCATTCTTCGTTCGACTCCCCCTTCACTGTGCCTCTCACGTTGAAGACTCGCCATGTTGATGAAGTTCAGCGCGAGCTGCCGGCATCCACATGTGCCATAACGGCCCACTTGTACGCTGTGAGGAAGAGGCGGAGTAACGGCCCACTTGTACGCTGTGAGGAAGAGGCGGAGTAAAGGGGAAGGGGATGAACAGAAAGCGAGATGGGGAGAAGACAAAACAAAGAACAGCAAAGGGAACGTAAGGGAAAGTAAGGAGTGTGGAAAGAAGAAGGCAAAGGAGAGGATAAGAAAAGGCTCAAGAATGAGTCTGTCCTTGACGACAGAGAGGTTATACATTGTAAGGATGAGGTGGATGAACACATGGAAGACCTAGCTGAGCATTCTCAGTACAAGAATTGCCATGACGGCTGGCATTGAGCATGCCCACCATACACCCGACAAATGGCATGTCGATGCCTGCAGCGACTCCGCTCGCGGCGGAGACCTGCTCCCCCATGCAAAGTGGAATGAATCTTCTGCCGGAACATGGGGAGATACACGGCCATATTTTTTTGTCTTCCTCCTCCTTTCCCTCCCACTCGCCCCTCCTCCACCTGTTCGTCTTCCTCCCGTTCCCCCTCCTTCCCTTCGTCCTGCTCCCCTCCTCCAGCTCGTCATCCCGCCCCCTCCTCACCCCACGCAAAGTGGAATGAATCTTCCACTGGAACGTGGGGAGATACACTGGCATATTTTTTTGTCTTCCTGGTCGTCGTTCTTCCCGCCCTCCTTCCCCTCCTCCCACTTGTCATCGCGCCCCATCTCCACCTGTTCATCGTCCTCCCATTCCTCCTCTAGCGGGGCGTGTTTGTTGTCCTCCCATTCCTCCTTCTTGCCCTCCTCCCGCTCCCCTCCTCCCGCTCATCATCCCGCCCCCTCCCCCCCCCATGCAAAGTGGAACGAATCTTCTGCTGGAACATGGGGAGATACACGGGCATATTTTTTGTCTTCCTGCTCGTCGTCCTCCCCGTCCTCCCCTTTCCCCTCCCCCCACTCGCCATCCCTCCTCTCCTCCACGTCGAGCGGGCCTTGTTCGTCGCCGTCCCGTTCCTCCTCCTTCCCCTCCTCCTGTTCGTAATCTCACCCCTCCTTCCCCTCCTCCTCCCCTGCAAAATGGAATGAATCTGCCGTGCAAAATGGTACGACTTCGCCCGAACTCTACCCCCCAGCACTGCCAGCTCTCCATGCCCGACCTCTACCCCCTGAATTGTAATGAACTTGGTTGTCTGACGATTTTCTCGCCACTCACACACAGAGTGTCTGACACACGCCCATACACACACCAGACAAAGGTGAGAGGAGACAGAGTCCAAACTGCACACAGACAAAGATAAGCAGCGGAATTCAACCATGCACAGATGGCGAGAAGACACAGTGGTTCTCACTCTCTGACAGACTCCCAACAACCAATCACAAGAAGACACCTGCGAGGATAACAATCGGAATCACACTGATGATGAGCCAACTCAAACCAATAATCGTTACAGAGTTTATCCCAGTGTCTCGCCACCCTCAGAACTCCACACACCACTCCCTATCCCACACCCAGTTAGTAGCGCAATCCGCCTCCCAAAGGCCAGCGCCAACCATCCAGATGAAGAACATGAATCGCGATGGAGTCTTCAGTGCCGATGAGTAACTCTGACGAAGAAGATGGCAGTTATGGCTGCCACACCACTGACGAGCCCTGACAATCCCGTAGGAGCGAAGGGCGACAGTGGTCCACCCAGATACGCTCAGTGAAGAGCCTCTACACAGCCCAGCCAATAGCAGATACCCTCAGGGGTAGATGCGCAGGGGGTGCCTCAGCTATTGCAAACCCTGGTAGGCCGGCTATGGCTGCCGTCCACGATGAGGGTCTCAGGATGTCGCCTGTTGACAATCACCGCCCCCAAAAAACTTGCTTGGCTCCAGAACGCTGTATCGCGAAAATGAAATGCCAAAAGTCCCTAACCTACAGGCTCAGTCCTATTAATAGACTAGCCTACACTAGACCTTGACCTACTGGACCGGTACCGCATCAGTTTGGCCTGTTCGGCCTGGCCCCTACCCGGCTATACGGCGTCTAACCCGTCTCTACAGCCCAAGGCCCAGATGGGCCTGCTGTCCTAGTGATAGTCCGGGTCTGCTAAGGGCCGTAACGGGAACTCGGGCCTGCAATTTTTGTGTAAATTGCAGATATGTCCCTCATGAATTCCCTCAGGACTAGACCGACGGTTAGTCCCTGACACAAACAAAATTACGAATCTGACCCTAAGACACGACTATACAACCTCGCAGTCAGATCTCGGCAGGAGAAATCAGCAAGTCATTGCAGAATGCTGCCAGCTCTCCCTGCCCACAATGCTGGACCGACACTTCAGGGAAAGATCGGTCTGCCCGCATCCCCCAAAAGAAAAAAACAGAAAAAAACAACGAATCTACTATTTTGTCTACTGTGCACGTCGCGTGGGAGTGGCTGGAAAAAAAAATAAAAATGAAGCAACTCGCACCGTGAAAAACGTTCCCAACACTGCAAGGCGGGTCTCACATGGGAGCGTCATGCAAGACCCGCTATTTGCTTTAAAAGAGTATAATAATAATAAGATATATATCGTCAATTATATATATAGTCAAACAGAGCTTCCCGGTAATATATATCGTCAAACAGAGCTGCTCGGTAAACCGTAGGCAGAGAGGGAGAAGATATATTGTCAAACAGATATATATAGGGAAACTCCAATGAAACAGTTTGTCACATCCCCTCTTTTCTTGTCCTCTTCTCCATCTTTGCCTGCGGTTTACCAGGCAGCTCTTGTTCACGTGTCAACCCTAGAGTCATATTTTTCTCCAACAAAAAAATGAATATGCGTCTATCGTCACAAATAGAACTGCCCGGTAAACCGTAGGCAGAGAGAGAGAAGAGGACAACAAACGAGGGGCTGTGACAAACTGTTTCCTCGGAGTTTCACCAACTCATCAGGAGGCTGAACCCTCAACAGTCTGCAGAATCCCCTCACTGATTACACTGTAAATGATAATTTACCTTAACCAAAATCAAAGTAGACT